ATAGGCATGTGCCACCAGGCTCTGCTCAAGAGGTTTTTAAGAAAACCCCTGAATCCAAAATTTCTCCCTAAACTCTCCTGGTTTTAAAAATCTCGCTTATTCAGATAAATTTCCAGAACACTGTGGGTGTCAAACAAAACTGTCCCATGAGCTGGGAATCGCCTGAAGCCATCTGTTTTCCAAGTTCTGAAAACTTACCCTTTCCTCTCCCATTTTGCAGATTGAGAAAACTGAGGCCCAGAGAGGCCTTGGCTAGAGGTGTCTGGGTCAAGATCAGAGAGACTAGGTTCTTCTTGTCCATCACCCCCTCTCTCCTGCCACCCCCCCTCGACTCTGTCTCTCTGTCTCTTTAATGGGTGTCTCTGTGTGTGTGTGTGTGTGTGTCGCCTCCTGTTTCTGCAGCCTTGTGGCCACCTCCTGCTCTTTCCTGGATGCCTCTGAGTCTCTGCCTCTTTTCTTTGCCTCCAGCTCCTGCAGAGCTGGGCTGCAGACACGACCCCACGACAGCCCCCTCATCCTGTGACTCCTCGCCGCCCCTCCCACCCCGGCCCCAGATTTCCGGAGGAGGGGACAGGCGGGGTCCCGCGGGGGCTCGCTGCCGTCAGCACCCCTCCCGGGCGACTGCGACCCCTCCCCGCTGACCTCACCGGCGCCGCCGCCTCGCGCCCATATAAGCAGCGTCCCCACCGAGGAGCGCGCCGCCGGCGCCCCGGGTCCTAGCGGCGCTTGCAGACTTGGCGACCTGCGGACAGCGGACCCCGCGGCCCAGGATCCCGGACCCACCCCGCGGAGCCCTAACCAGGCAGGTGAGCCCCTCCGATCCCTTACCAAGTGGCGTCCTTTCCGGAGCACTGGGACAGGAGCGCACGATCGCCGGCCCCGGGACCCGACGGGAGCCCCAGCCCAGGGCGCACGGGCGCATCGTGCCGCTGCGGTGCGCGCCAGGTCCCCGGCACCCGGGGTCGATCGGAGCCCAGCATGCATGCTGTCCCCGCCGGGATCCAAGCTGTAGGTTGGCTCCAGAGGAACCAGGGGCTGGGCGGGTCCGCGGGAGAGCCGGGGAGTTCGGATCCGAACCTCACGTTGGAAACCGAACCGCTCGCTTTGGAATGCACCAGGCTGTTGCATTCCTGGTCCGGACGCAGCTCAGCGTTGCATTGGAGAAGCGGAGCCTTGGAATCGGAATTTTAGCGCTCGAAATAGAATCCCCAGGCCCCGGGGGCTGGTGGCCGGCGACAGGGCGCTCGCCTAGCTTTTGCGCAACTCCCTGGGTCCATCCCCAGCCAATAAAATAAAATAAAATAATAAAATCCCAAGGAAGCCTCGTACTAGATCAAGAAAGTTGGCGATGGAGTATGAGCATTAGAGTGTGGCGATGGGACCTTGGGGACAATGTTTGCAGCGACCCGATCCTTAGCATCCCGCGGGCCGTCGGGCGGGCCAGCGCTGCAGCCTGGGCGGGGACATCGCTGGCTTGGTCAACCCCAGCTCTGGCTTCCCCAGCTTTCCCGTGAGGTTGAGAGGTGGCAGTGACAATAGGGTCCCCATGGTCTCCTGGCTCACACAGGCACAAGGCAGCGTGGCCGGGCATCCCTATGGACTAGGGTGGTTCCAGGTGGCAGATTCCGCATTCCTGGTGACCCTGGGGTCTTGCCACTCCCTGGGAAGGGGGCTGAACCGTGAGCGATTTGTTCTGGGGAAGGAGAGGGAGAGATGGAGCAGATGCGATCACGCTCCTCTCTGTCCACTGACCCTCTAGCCGCCGCCATGCCGGGCCCTTGGCTGCTGCTCACCCTGGCTCTGACCTTGACCCTGACCGGCTCCCCGGGAGGCCGCGCTCAGCCCCAAGCCGCCCAACAAGAGGCCGAGATGGCTGCGGAGCATCCCGCCCTGGACGACCTCCTGCGCCAGGCAGAAGGGTTCCTTCTCCTCCAGGATGACATCCAGCGGCTGCGAGGGGACCTGGGCCAGCCCTCAGGTGAGTGGACGGGGCTGTTGGTGGCTGCTGGAGGTGAACTGAGCAGCCCAAAGGACTGGGGGACAGGGACGTGGGGTGGGGGGAGGGTGACTTGAGCCTCAGCCTCCTGCACTTTAGAAATCCTAATGCCACTCCTTTGGCAGAGACTGGAGACATTATTATTATTATTATTATTATTATTATTATTAAATTATACCTGAGATTGAGCCCAGAAGTTCCTTCCCACTGAGCTATATCGCCAGCCCTTCTAAGTTTTTGTTTTGAGACAGGGTCTCCTAAAGTTATTGAGGACCTTGCTAAGTTGCTGAGGCTGGCCTCCAACTCCGGATCCTCCTCCCTCAGCCTCCCTAGTCGCTGGGATGACAATCATGCAACCACCCCGCCCAGCTGTTATTCTCATTTTATAACAGAAGAAAACCGAGGCTGAGAGAGATTGAGTCACTTCTGGTCACTTAGGCCAGTTAGTGGCAGAGCTGGGACTGGAATTCGGAGGTCATGGCTTTGACCTTGTCTGTGAGGGTGTGTCTCTTTGGGGCCTGAGAGGCAGGTGCAAAATCTCTGGGTAGGTGCTGCAAGGAGTCTGCCTTGGCCTCCAAGAAGAAGGCTGGGGTGGGCATTCAGGATGGTAAGGTGGGGAGGGGACCCTGATGGCCTCTTTCGTTTCCCAGAGTCCCTGCAACCTGATTCGCTCTCCAAGCGTCAACATCCGGGCAAAAGGGAAGAGGAGGCAGAGGAGGGAGTGGAAGAGGAGGAGGAGGAAGGCGGAGCTGTGGGGCCCCACAAACGCCAGCACCCGGGGCGACGCGAGGATGAGGCTGCCTGGTCTCTAGACAGGACCCAGCAGCGCAAGAGGCAGCACCCCGGCCGGCGCTCCCCGTGGCTGGGGCCCGCTGACACCAAGAGGCAGCACCCAGGCAGAAGGCTGGTGGACGCCCAGGTCCAGGGGAGCTGGAGGGAGGAGCAAGAAGAAGATGCAGGAGAGGGGACCCCGAGGGTTGAGAGGCGCCAGCATCCCGGCAAGAGGGCGCTGGGAGGCCCCTGTGCGCCCCAGGGAGCGTGTGCCCCATCGGGCCTCCTCCTGGGGCTCCTGAGTGACCTGAGCAGGGGCCAGGGGACCCAGGAGAAGCCGCCCCACCCCGAGCGTCGGGCATCCTGGACCAGAGAGCCCCTGGAGGAGTGAGCCCTAATTTCCTGGAAAATCCAATTTGGGGACCTAAGGATACCTTAAGTGACCACTGCATCCCGGTCCCCTCTCTCCCAGCCACCAACCTGAGCCTCCTGTATAACACACTCCCAAGTCCCCGTCCCTGTCCCCCAGGGCACCCAGGATCTCCTTTCCCTTCCTAAGCCTCCTTTTGTAGATGGAAAGAGACTTAATGGAACTCTCTGTGGGGACCATGGCCCTGCGTGGGAATGTTCCGTCACAGCCCTGGAAGTTGTGGCTTGTATATAACCCCCCCCCCCCTTAGGCACCTTCTCCTTGTCCACGATAGTCCCTCAAGTGGTAATAAAACGTGCGACCTGAACTCGGAGCTCTGTGGCGGTCACTCTGTTCCAGCTGGCACGGGGTTTCTCTTGGGCACCCAGAGGGGCACTGGAAATCAGGGGGCGGGACTAGCGATCCCCAGTTCTGCTGCCCATGGCCTGGGGGACCCCGGAAAGTCAAAAGTTCTCTCTTCTGACCTCATCGCTGGACACATGTGGGAGGTGGATAGGGAGAAAGGACCCAAGGCTGGTCCCAGACACAGCTGGCCCAGGTGGATCTCTGGGATTGAGAGGCCAGTTCAGGGTCCTGACTTGAGTTTCCTGATGGGAGAAGGGAGAGGAGCCTCGTGGTCTGGCTCAGGTCTATCATTCTCATGGGCTGGGCTCCGTGGGGACACACCTGATAATCCCAGCAGCTGTGGAGGCTGAGGCAGGAGGATCTCGAGGTGGAGGCCAGCCTCAGCCACTTAGACCCTTGGCCATTTAGGGAGACCGTGTCTCAAAATAAACTTAATCCAAAACCTTTAAGAAACCATGAGTGAATCAAACAGTCATAACAATAGTAAAGACCCAAACACAACACCAGGGTCGTCAATATTTTGTGTATATAAGTTTCTAAAATCCTCACAATAATCCTCCTAGGTATAGCTATTACTGTGTCTATCTTACTAATGGGGAAGGAAGGATCAGCAAAGTGAAGTAACTTGCCAGTTTAACCTTTCCCTTAAGCTAACCTCCACAGTCCCTCCAGCCTAGCAAGACACAGTAGTGCACACTTGTAATCCCAGTAACCGGGGAGGCTGAGGCTGGAGGATCACAAGGTCGAGGTCAGCCTTGGCAATTTAGCAAGAGCCTGTCTCAAAATTAAAAAAAATAAATAAATCAAAAGGACTGGGGATGGAGTTCAGGGATAAAGTGCCTCTGGGTTAAATTCCTAGTTAAAAAAAAAAAAAAAAAAAAAAAGAAAAAAGAAAGAAAAATAAAATAAAAAAAAAAATTTCCCCATCTTAGGGTTTAGAAGTTCCTGGGCACCTGTGATTTTTATTTTTGTTTATTCATTTATCTATTCATTTGGGGGCCCAAGATAGAACCCCAGGGGTGCTTTAACCACTGAGCCACACCCCCCAGCCTTTTTTATTTTGAATTTTGAGACAGGGTCTCACAGAGTTGCTTAGGGCCTTCATCAACTGCTGAGACTGGCCTTGAACTTGCGATCCTCCTGCCTCAGCCTCCCAAGTCAATAGGATCACAGGCCTGGGTCCCTGCTCCTGGCTACCATCAGACTTCTTAGATGCAAGAAATAAATTTGCATTTTGTGAAGTCACTGAGATTTCACGGCCTGTGACCAGATTTGCCAAACACAAATACCTCCTCCCTTTCCTCTCCACACGGCGCTCCTTCCTAAAATCTTTTCCTGCTCACATGCGTCTGCCTTCACAGATCAGAGCCTGGAACAAAGTAGATGCTCAATAAATATTTGTTGAAGGGCTGTGGCAAGCTTGAGATCAGTTGGATTTTCGTTTCCCTGCCGGATTTCCTGGGGTGCCTTGTACTTTGGGGTTTCTTAGCAATAGACCTGGAAAGTACTGGAATTCTGCTTTCCACAGGAAAGTGTAATCCATGAGTGAGCAGGTTATTTCTGTGGGCATCGGGGGCTCTGTCTTGTTGAGGATCCTCAGGGGACTAAAGAACAGGCTCCATACTCTCCTGCATGACAGGACCTAGGGCAGGGTCTCGCACAAAGTAAGTGCTCAGTAAACAACTGAATGCATGAAAAGTGGGATTTGAGACCATCTGTCTGATTCTGAGCCCCCCAGGGAGGTGGTGGGGCAAATCCAAATGCTTACACCAAGCTCTGGGGTGGAAGGTTCCTGCAGGTTTGTCAAAAACTGGTCCTGTGGATGGCCATGGAGCTTAGAGCTTATGTTGAAACCCACTGTAACATCTGCCCAAGTATCCTACCTTTTAAAATACCCTAGAGGACACCAAATGGCCCTCTGTTGTCTTACTTACTACTTACTTACTACTTACTACTTCCACTGTGGACTGAAATCTGCAAAACAGCAAGCTCGAATAAACCTTTTTTTCTTATAACTTCATTATCTCAGGTGTTTTCTTCCAGTATCCGAAAGCTGACTAGTAGAGTCTACAAGTGAGAAATAAGCCAAGCTCAGAAAGGTGATGTGATCAGCTCAAGGTGTACCCTGGTTCTGTAAAATCCCAGATCCTGGGGATCTTTTATCTTGACCTACTCTCTCTCTTGCTGGGGCAGTTTTTGCAAAAGCAGGGTGACTTCTTCCTGGCCTCACCTCTCACATCCAGCCTGCCTTGCTTGTGAAACATCTCAATGTCACTACTTCCTCTGATATGTTCTTTAATTAATTCTTTCTGCCAACCTGATTTGGATTAATTAAGTGCAATCAGAGGACTGGTTTTCTGAGAGACTCAGTTCCTGCTCCAGGGCCTCTTGGGTGGGCTGAGAACATGTGGGAGTTTTTACCTGAAGGATGTCAACAATTAGAAGCCATTTCAATCAGCGGCCGACCAGCCGACTGCCTCAATTAGCTCTTTGGCTAACCGGGGCTGAGAGTTACCGGTTACCAAGGGGATCCGTGGTCCATGCCAGGATTTAAGTGGCTTTTATCTTCCGGGATCATCTTTCCTGAATTGCGGCCACGTTCTGGGGCTGGTAATTATTGGAAGGTTGATTAGACCCTGTCCATGACGGAGTGTGACTTCCTAATCACCAGCTGCTGGAGAGGAAGGCATCCAGAGATGTCGCAGGTACACCCTGTCCCACGTGCCTGGCATTCAAACAGACATGTCTGCTGTGGGCCTGTGGCTGGAATCTCCCTGGGGAGGGGCTCAGGTGCAGCAGCCCAAGGGGGCGAGAAGCCCTGGGCCATTCTTGGAAGGTTCAAGATCCTGTCTGAGGAGGTGCGAATGAGGCATTTCTCGGTAGGCATCCGCCATGCTAAGTGACGCAGGACTGGAATGATAACAGTTAGTGTTTATTGAGCACTTATTATGTGCCAAGCACGGCTCTGGCTCACTCCACAGGGAAACAATTCTTTCGATCCTCTCTAGGAGGAAACTGAGGCACAGGGAGGTCGGGTGAGTGGCCCACACACCTGAGATTTAAATCCAGGAAGTGTGCTTTCAGGTTCCACAGCTACAGAATGCTAGCTCTTGTGCTGAAAGAATACCAGCGGTTCTCAAAATCGCCCAGAGACCAATGCGCCTCTTCCCGTTGCATTGTTTCCTCTTTTGAAAAACACAGTTGATTGTCACAAGCATGTTTATATTAACAGAGCATAGATTTATTATGGCTATCATAAATTAATACATATTTTAGAAACTCTCGTTTTTAATTTTTACTCTGGGAAATATCAATAGCTATAATCCATATAATGAAAAGTTCTTTAGGGTCCTCAATAATTTTTTTTTTTTTGCCCTGGGGATTGAACCTAGGGGTGTGTGACGACTGAGCCATTTATCTGGGTCGTTTTTATATTTTACTTTGAGAGAGAGTCTTGCTGAGTTGCTTAGGACCTTGCTAAATTGCTGAGGCTGGCCTTGAACTCACAATCCTCCTGCCTCAGCCTCCTGAGCCGCTGAGATTACAGGCGTGCACCCCACATCCGGCTGTTACGGGAACTTTTTATTATTCTATTAAACATCTCTGGAGATTTCTGGTTGAACAGACTGGATTGGTCATACCTAACAGGCTCCCCTTCTTCCTAAATGGACCAATCTAAACAAGGACAATCTAAACATTTCAAGAAAATTTGCAACTTAAAAATCAAAGACATGAAGAGGAGGCTGAGGCAGGAGGATCGCAAGTTGGAGGCCAGCCTCAGCAATTTAGGGATACTCTGTTTCAAAATTTTAAAAAAAGAATAAAAATAGTTGGTAAAATATACCCCTAACTTGAATTCCAGGTATTGAAACAGTAACAACAACAAAAATCCTAATGGCTCTTTATTTCTTTCATAATGAAGGATTTTTTTTTTCCCTACACTTAGAACTTGTGGCAGATACTGTTAGCTGCCTCATCGAAAGCGACTCCCCTACCATTTCTTTCTAGATTTGTTCAGTTATCAAGCAGCGATGCGTCTCCAAAGGGGCGACACTTGATGGGTGGAAGCCCGTCATTAGAATTAAATTCTCTTGCCAGGGATCTGTTTTAGGGGTGCCTGTGTCATTCTTTGTCACACTGACATGGCTCCCTGGCTGCAGGCCATGCAGCCGGCCCATTGATCATGGGGAGAAGCCACCGTGGAGTGACAGAGAGGTGGCCTGGTAGCCCAAGAAGGTTGGAGGGTGGGTGGGCAGCACAGCCTCATGGCCGCGTGGAGCCCACCATGCAGGTCTGCGGCGCCCTGGGCCACCACCAAGGTGAACCTGGACAAGCCAAACTGATTTGTCACCCCGCTCTGCACACAGGGGAGACGCCCATTGCAGGAGGCGCTCAGCAGAGCCAGACACCCCACTGAGCATGCGCAACCCGAGGACTTCAAGCCACCAATCATAGTAAGGCAAACCGCACCGGGATGCAGTGCTAACCAATAGCGTTAGTACAAGCCCTAATTAGCATAAATTTGGACCAATAGCCGTGGACCCAGTGCTATATAAACCCCTGGATGCGCTCAGTAAGGGAAGCACCGCTGTGGGGTGATGTGAGGGGTTTTCCTTTGCTCTTCAATAAGGCTGTGGTTTTTCATCCTTTTATTTCTTAAAACATTGAATTCTTAATCAAAAAGAAGTTGGATGAAAGGCGCTGAAGGATGAGTTACTAGAACTTGCTGCAAATGCTGACGGGCATGGCCTGTGGCAAAGATCGGCAGTGCTTTCTTGTTCAGAGATCTGTAGCTCATACAGATTTTACATGGTAGCAGAAGTAGGGAATGAACTTGGGTCTCAAGACCTTGGTTTTGATATGCTGAGTGGTCAGTAGGGTTATTGGGAATAACTTTCCTTATTTCTGAAAGGTGTTGCTGAAAGAGGAAAATTTAGGACATCATGTTTCAAGTTGATGATTGAT